ATGATGATGATTGTGGCAGATTCGTTTTCTACATGGAAGTCTAATCTCCTCCGAAGACCTTTTCTGGGGATCGTCGATAGATGGTTTTTCAATAGGAATCGTTTCCCTCGGATCCTCAAGAGATAGAGGGGGGTCCTGTCTTGAGACATGGAGCGGTCTCTCCTCCTCCTCCTCCTCGAGAAGTCTTGAGAAAGGGAGAGGATTTTCGGTTCCCTTATTCTTGAGGGGTCTTGACAAATTGAGAGGGTCCCTCCTCTTCGAAAGAGAGAGAAGTTTTGGTTCCCTTATCCTCGAGGGGTTTTGACAAATCGAGAGGTCCCTCATTTTCGAGGGGTCTTGATAAATGGAGAGGTTTTTCATCTTCGAGGGGGTTTGATAAAGGAAGAGGTCCCTCCTTCTCGAGGGGTCAAAAGGGAGAGGTTTTTCATCTTCGAGGAGGTTTGACAATGGGAGAGATCTCTCCTTCTCGAGGGGTCTCTCTTCCTCAAGGGGTTTTTGAGGAAGGGAGAGGTTTTTCATCCTCGACGGGTTTTTGACAAACGGAGAGGAATCTGAACAGGCTTCTCCCTCATCCCCATCATTATCGAGGAGGATGAGGATAGGCTTTTGGAAAGGTTTTTTCTTTTTCTTCTGAACAGGCTCCTCTTGATGCTCGGGGAGAGGGATGGGGTAGTTGTTCCACCATTCTATTTTTTCTTGCTCGAGGATTTTTTCAAAAGTCGTGGCCTCTCTAAGATGAGACGAAGGAGGAGAGAGTCCTCGAGAAGAATATAATAGGTATTCTTCCCAGTCTTCTCGATCGAGAGAGGTTCGTGCAAACATTTGTGCAACCATTCACTAAAATGAACGAGAATCCCTTTTGTCTTCTCAAGACGATCCATAATCCTATTCATTTGCGAGACGGTTAGAAAGTGGGACGTGTAAAAATATTTGGCTCGTTTCATTAACAAAATTTGTGCATCCAAAGGTGGAATGTCACGAGCCATCAACACGTTTTCGTCGGACAAAAATTCGTCCCGCATCTTTTGATAACTCCCCACGGTATAATAACCCGCACATTTTGAAAAATCGGAGGCTTTCAGGTAAACGACTCCTTGGATGATATAAAAGGAAAGATCAACATATTTATATTTGAAAGGAATACACGTAGTGAGCTGGGGATGCCTCCTCATGATCCACTTGGACAAAAATACGACTTTGGGGCTCTCCCCTTTTATTTATAGAGAGAAAGAGAGTGTGACCTTCCCTTCCCTCCTCCTCCTCTCTCCCTGCTTCCTCTATCTCTGGACGTCCTTGGATTGGAAAGGGTGACTTTGAAAAAAAAAGAAGGTCATGGTTGGATAATTTTTTGTTTATTAAATTATTACTTTCACTTCCTCATTCCCACACACATTCATCTTTTTAAGAAAAGAAAAAGAGGTCATGGAGATAAGATTTCTTGGAAAGAAGAGAGAGAGAGAAACAAAAAAAAACAAATAAAACGGACGTCATAGAGCCTCTATGTGTGTCTGTGTGTGTCTATATAGATATATAAAAAGACGAGAGTACTGGGCGAGATCATTTCTTTTCCATTGGGAGCCATGTCGCTATTAGACGTTTTTCCAACTCAACGGATTTCGAACGGGGAGGATTTGAAGACGCTAAAGCAAATCTCCAACTTGAAAATTTTTTTGGCGTGTCATTGTGCGACATTTATTCCGCATTTACCACCTCATCAAGCGATCGTTTCTTTCAACCAAGATGTCGAATCCTCCAACCTGCTCGTTCAGAATATATACAGAAATTTATTCGAATCGCAACAAACGAAAGAGGAATCTCCCTTCTCTTGGAATCGGATGGATCGAGCTTTGAGACGGCCCATTCAAACAGACCGGCGATATACAGGATCCGCGCACGAGTTTTCGGTGGAAGAATATTTTTCTCACGAAACGATATTTTACGTTTGGAGTGAGAACGACGGCTGAGGACGAAGTTCATATTGTTCAAACCACAGCCGCTCCTCTCGCCTATTACGAATCATCGTCCCCCAATCTGAAGGAAAGAAGTTTTAAAGTCAGCGACAGGATGAAATATAAGAAATATATTCTAAGACCTTTTCAAAACTATGTCGTTCCCCCCCCGAAAACGCAATATCTCATCGTCACAACCCAGAAGAGTCTCTTTCTCGTCGATCGGTGCTCGTACTCGCTTTGGAAACAATTGAAAGAGGAGATTTCTTTCCAATCGCCGATGATGTTTCAAGAAAAAGAAGAAGAAAACCCTCCGCCACCTTTACCCATCCCTTCCTTAGATGATAAGAGGAGCTGGACCAAACCGTCATGGCCCGAAACAAAATCGACCCGGCAACGGAATGAAATTGAAGTCATCACAATTGAAGATGAGGAGGAAGAAAAAAAATTACCTCTTAAAAAACGGTCGACTTACCGGAACCTACCTGGCGTGCAAGATCCGCTTCAGAATCCAGAAGCTTCTTCTTCTTCTTCTTCTTCCCCGACTTGTTCAAACAGGCAACCTCTTTCGGACTCCTCACAGACAGAACCTCTTCCAGTATCCTCTTCTTCTTCTTCTTCTTCTTCTTCTTCTCCAACCTGTCCCGACATCGTAGAGGTAGAATGTCAGACGGGTCCACAAGCTTCAAAAAGTCCCGACATCGTAGAGGTAGAATGTCAGCCGGGTCCACAAGTTCCAACAGGTCCAGAAATCATGGAGGCAGAATCACAGCCGGGTTCACAAGTTCCAACGGGTCCAGAAATCATGGAGGTAGAATTTCAGCCGGGTAAACAAGTTCCAACGGGTCCAGAAATCATGGAGGTAGAATCGCAGCCGGGTCCAGACATCCTAGATCCCTCCACTCATCCCAAAGAGACTCCAAGTGTTTCAAGACAGCCTTGTGAGGATCCAGCCCTTCCCGTATGGAATGATTATATGGACTTACAAAATTTGGTGCAACAGGAAGGAGAAGAAAATAATCATACGGATGGGTGGGTCAAAGACTGTTTAGATCATTTAACCTCGAATGAAATTGAACTGTTATGGAATTGCATTTCTGAAATCACATCGGAAATGGGATAAAAACCAAAACAAAAAAAAAATTTTTTTAATAACAAATTGGAGGAGGGTCATGATGTCAATTAAAAAAATATTATATAGAGTCCAATCTTGGTGGTTCACTTCAGTTTTCCAGCATGAGGTGATCCACGTTTCCCGAAATATGGATCCCATTCCAAGAGAGATTGTGTAGAGCCTTCACTTCAGTTCTTCCCCAGAGGAGAGGTGATCCACGTTTCCCGAAATATGGATCCCATTCCAAGAGAGATTGTGTAGAGCCTTCACTTCAGTTCTTTTTTTTTATATACCAAGAGGAGAGGGTCCCCAAAGGGCTACCCATGTCCAAAGAGAGAAAGTGTAGAGCGTTCATTTCAGTTTTTTTTCCAAGTTTAGGGGAGGGAGGTCTCAAAATGACACCCCCCCCCATTTTCAAAGAGAGATGGTGTAGAGCGTTCATTTCTGTTTTTTTCCAAAGTTAGGGAGTTTTCAAATGGCTACCCATTTCAGAGAAAGAGAGAGAGAGAGAGAGAAGGTGTAGAGCGTTCATTTCAGTTTTCCAACATTAGAAGGTCCCAAAATACCTTCTGAATTCAAAGAGAGATCGTGTAGAGCGTTCATTTCCAGTTCTCCAAGATCAGAAGAAGAGGGTCCGCTTTTCCCAAAAGGGCTTTCCGCATTCAGAGACAGCGAAATGCAGACTTCAGTTTTCTCCCTCCCCAAGAATAGAGGGTCCCAAAATGGCTTCCCATTTCAAAGAGAGAGGGAGAGGCGTTCATTTCCATTCTCCAAGATAGGGTCGTCTGCTTTTTCCCAAAATGGCTTCCCAATTCAAAGAGAGAGAGAGAGAGAGTGAAAGGGTGTGTAGAGCGGTCATGTTCATTCTCCTAGATAGGGTCGTCAGTTTTTTTCTCAAAATGGCATCTCCCCATTCAAAAAGAGATCGTGAACCAATTTTTTCCAGTTTTTTCCAAGTTGGGGGGGGAGAAGAAAACCTAGGATGGAATAACACGACACACAGAGAGAAAGAGAAAAAAAAAACGCCATCTTGTCATTTTCTGATAGGGTACCGGTGTTCGAATACTTTTGTGACCGACTGTACTGTTCCTTATAAATCAATTTATGTAAGAGCTTTCTTTTGTAAAATTTGAATTTTTTCGAGATTTGTTTTTCAAGCGTATCTTCATTTGGGGAGGCTTAAAGTAAGGTTGAACGGATTATTGTTTTATGTAACATCATTTTATTCTGAAGAAAGACTACTATGTTTTCCAAGTAGACATCATAAAAATTATCTATGGAGATATTAAATTTATTTTTGAGTTGGCAAAAGGAAGACTAAAACAAAACCGTACTTTGGGTATAGAAATAGTGAAATCCCATGCGTAGAATGATTTCACCACCTGAATACTAGGGCACGGGGCGCAGTTTCTGCCAAAACTGATTGTAAAGTTCATAAGTATTCATAGCTCCGAGAGATTGAGGTATAAAATGCTAAATTTCAAAATAAGGTCGCTGCTTTGATAGTTTACTAGTGTAGTAAGAGTTCAAAAGTTTGAGAGATGGATGTAGGTTCATTATAAAAATCTCTATATTTTTTGGATCATTTTCGATTTGCTATGATGTATGGTAACTTGGAATTCTGTCTTGAAATAAAAGAGTCATATAAATGAAATTAAGAAGTCACATACTAATGTCTTATTTTCTCTTCAAAGCAGTAAACGATTAACATCGGTTATAAGTTACAAATATTCAATTACGTTAATTTTGAATGACAGAGCGAATTTAGTTCCGGATATGATTTTACTTTATAATACTTAGAAACAAGCAGTTGTTACTTAAATACATCTTTTTTTTTCCTGTCAAAAGAATGCGTTCATATTTTTTAGACATAACATTTTGGAAAAGCCATTAGGAAGGTTAGCTAATTTTAATAAATTGGTTCAGGAACTTAGCATCCTTCACACAACTAAACTCAATATTTCTTTTATACAACTAAACTCGAAGCGGTAAGGTGTAGGATCTATTCTACCTGAAACTTGTACTTCGGCAATAATGGTAGGTTAATTGAAATCTTAATGTAAAAGAATTAAAAAAAATTATTGAGCATTAATAGTAGTGTAATTTAAACTGCTGGTGGTTGTTCCTGAATTGCGTGTGATAAAATGATTTGCAGTATTTTTTTGTTCGTATTTATTTATTCAGTTACACGTGGCGATGGCAAGCCTAACAAAATGAGTAGAAATTGTAATTTTGAAAGGGGAGAAAATGGCGTACGGCCTTTTTTATTGAAATTAGTGTAGCTTTTATTAAATCGTATAGTTGCGATTCAGCTGTATAATTTTAAAATAGATTAACATTTCCGGAATAATATTCCTTTCGTATTTGGCCTATTGCTGTATGTTGGAAGTTCGTAAGCAGTTAACGAACACTGCGAGAGCGCGCTGCCGTGTACAATATATATAAATTAAACTGATTTTTCTTTTAATTAACTGCTGTGATTAAGTAAATGACATTCTATTTGTTAAAATTTCTGTTGAATTATTCGCCTTTTATTTGTTGTGTATTGCTACCGAAATAAACTTTTTTCTAATAAAAGTCAATTTTTTTTTTACCAGTCGTTTCGTCACTACGTGCAAGTAGGCAGGGTTGCCTACATTTCATTCGGTAAAGATTCAGGAAAATTATGTGCTATTGTAGATGTTGTTGATCAGAATAGGGTAAGTTTTCATTTATCATTTAGACTATATTTTAACGAAAAATGGATGGCAGATTTAATGTTAGATAATACAAAAATTTCCTAGGCGGTGGATTCCTAATTTTTTCCTGTGCAGTGGTTCAGCTGAAAATATCTACTGTTCTAAACAACTATTACCTTATTTTTTATATTTTTGTTCTAAAATTTTGTAATGTCTTATAAACGGGTGTTTAACTTTCTGAAGCCGGCTGGTACAACAGCTGTACCAGGAGAATGACTTTCTCTGATGCCGCCAGCATTGGTACAACTGTCGTACCATCCATGCCCTCCCTATTTTAGAGAATCGCCTGTCTGTAGATCTCTGGGTAATCCATTGTCGCTGCTCAGAGAAGCTGCTGGCTATGCATTATTCCCTCTTCTTATCAGTTTGGCTACATTTTGGCAAAAACCGAGGATTTCGTCTCGTGCCAATATACTTGAAAATCAAATACAGGCCATCTCTCTCTCAATCTGTCTCATAATTTTAATGCTAATTTTTTTAGTCCTGACTTTTGCTATGATTAAAACGTCAGCGATTGTGCACGCTCTTTAAGCTTACCATATTTAATGTTTTTTAATCATAACAAATAAGAATGTATTAATATTTTAGATTTGATGCCCTTCTAGAAAATAGGTAAAACCGCTTTTATCGTTTACTTCCTTTTCATACTTATGAATAATAAGATTTTATTTTGACTTTTTTTTTTTTTTTTTTTTTTTTTTTTTGGGAGTGCATAAAACCCTTAAGAACTGTTAACTCTTTCAAAGTGCTTCTATTATGTAGGCAATTTTGTCTGATTTATCAGGAGATAAATAAGAGACAATTTTATGCATAATAGTTTTTGTGATTTTCATTCATTCAGTGATTGCTTTCAATGATTTTCATTGATTGTAAATTAAAAAAATCAATTTATCTTTAGACCCTCTTTTAGGATGAGATCTGCCAAAAAGTATTTAAATATCAGTAAAGCTCACGTTACTTCTAAATTGAATCAAAACATCAGTTACATTGTATAAAATTTTGGCCAGTTTTATTTGCTGAAATTCTTATACTCCTCAAGAGATGGGGAATTCAGACAAGTTAATAAAAAAATATCTTTAAAAAAAGGTTATTTTGTCTGTAATAAGGTGTATGTCAACTCACTATTAAATGTATGAAAATTAGGATTGGATTACGGAAAAGCACGCGAACGCTATCTGCTTAAGGGGATGGATGCTTTTGTGTCAACCTTTTTAAGAGAAAATTGCTCGCATTTACGTTCCTTGGTGGAAAACTCCACATGTAATCAATCCGTTCTTCGGGTTTGATTGGATTAATTTTGTTCGCTTACTGAATTACATCAAAGCACACAACAATTACTTGTATGAGGGGAGGTATGCCTTCGTGGAGGACTTTCTAAGCGAAGCTGGCTTGCATTTACGTTACACAAAACCATGAATCCAACTATTTAACCGGGATTCAAACCCAAGCAAGCTACAAGTGTTCAGCCACCTTTACCGCTCTACTGAAGAGCCCGTAAAAATATTGATAAAGGAAAAGTATTGAAATAACCGATTTAATTTACTAACCTATATTTCTCAATCGACACTACATAAATTACGCATATGAGGGAATTATTTGTGAATAAATAAACTGTATTGCACTTTTCTCCATTATTTCATATTACGATGGAATTATTGTATTACTAAGTTATTCTCATGAATTAATTTTGCCCCATTCATGATTTTTTTTAATTTCAAAGAGAAAATTCACACTTAAAATAAAAAAAACACGAAGAAGATACTTTTATACAAAATTGGCGTAAACGATTTTCTTAATTTTGCTTTGAAAATATTCCAGGGTAATCGTTTTCATTACTGGAAGAAATATGAAAAACAGATTTACTACATTGTGTCAACACCCAGTATTTCCTTATTCTTGAAAATGTGAAAGATTACTCTTTCTAAATAAATTAGAAATCTATTATGTGCAAATAGAATATTCAGAAAATGAAATAGACTGCAACCTTTGGATATAACGATGGTTTTAAACAAAATTTCTACCTATGAAAAGAAATTGACGTATAATTAATTCTTCATGAACATTTAAAACTGTTCTCAAAATTCTTTTGATGATTGCATGTATAGGTCACAGATTTTTTTTTCTCTGCTAACATAAACAAAAGCCAATTTTACAAAGAAAAATTCTCGGTAAAGATATACCTCCTTTGCCTGATAGTCGAATGTGATATTTATTAAAGTTAAATGATGAAATGCAACCAAAGTATCTCGGATTTTGATTTTTATATTATAATAAACAAAATTATCAAAAAAGCAGATTTAAATCTGTTATTGTTATGTAAAGCTTTATTATTGCTGTAAGTTTCATCTCAAAATCTAATTGTATGAATCTCATTCTAATCATCTAATGGTAATAATATTATTTATTATTATTTCATTAAATTAGTCATTACCATTATTTTTAATGAAAATATGTATTAAAAAAACACATTCCAGCCTGCAGACTTAAAAAGCTAATTTACTATATTGTTAAATTTTGTTTTCGTTTTCTAATTTCTAATACGAAAATACGCGAATATAAATGTGCGAAACAAAGTTATAAAATTCACAAATTACTGCCGAGATTGCTCAGAAATAGTGAGTGAATTATAAACATTGCATACATTTTGTTCTAAATCATTAGTGCACTATTGATTTTTAGAACTTCATTTAAATGAAAGCAAAATAATCATCGAAAAAATCGCAAATCTAGCAACAACTCTACTATGGGACGTAAGCGTCCGACAAACATGTAAATTTTACTTCATCCACAGAGGGGGACTAACGACTTTTCCCATTAGGAAGATGTCAAAGAGGGGACAAAACTGTCAAAGAGGGCTATACAGTCAAAAGTCTTTAATCCGGGACTTCGGCGATTCCGGATTATAGATCATCAGTTTAAATCTGGTAAGATGGCATGCAGAAATTATAAAATTAAAAATATGAAACCGTAATTTATAAAATAATGAGCAATTATGATCTAAAGGGTATCAAAATTTACCAAAAAAGAAGCCTAATATTTATTTGTTTACTTTATTAAACATTTCTTTCAACGCGCGGATGCGTAAAGCATACCTTACGCATAGCCGAAATTAGAAAATTGCAACCAGAAAACTATTTGATTTGTATTCGTGGTATTTATAATGACGAGGAATTTGATTTATTTAAATCATATCAAAGACGGAGTACATCGAAATTAATTAAATACTACATTTAGTAAGGAATTATAAGCCGAATAAAATAAAAACATCTGCTCTGAAGATAACGATAGTGTTGACAAATCAACTTCCAGTTCATTGCGCGCAGCGACGTCTCCCCCCCCCCCGCGCGCGAGCAGCGTGAAATTGATAAACAGATTTCGGAACGGTTAGATAAACAAGGAATATGCCTTTATCCATTTTTTTTTGTAGCAATTCGTTTTTTGTTTGATGGACATCGAAACATACTTTCGTTTTCTAGATCCTTTGGGAGCTCCAGCATCGGAAATTCTATTTGACATAATCAAAAGTTCAAGCTTACTTTTAGAAAATTGCTCTTACAGTCTGCAAAAAATAATAAGCCGGATCCAATTCGAAGATTAAGGAACAACGCAATCATCAACATTAACTGAAATAGATAATTAGATAATTTTAGCTTATAGCGTCCGTTATACATTAAACGCGCACGCGAAAACGTATTCTGCACTTGCGCAGTCGTAAATGTCTTGGGCGCACGAGTAAAACGCCTATGCGCATGCGCGGAAAGATTTTAGCTTTGAGGTCCGAATTAACGACTTTTGACTGTATTATGAGAATTTCGGCCCGGTTTTAGAAGGTTAAATAAATGAAGTTGGTGAAAGAGAGAAAGGAAATATACTATATAGAATAATTACTTTTCAGATATTATTAAACAAAAGTAATTGAAATCGTGTGTTAAGATGCGTCGGGCCAGTGTATTTTTACTTTAAAACAGTCTTTTTTGGTGAATAACAAGATAAGTTTTATTGAGAAAATAATTACAGCATGCTTTACATGTTAAAATTATGATTATAGTTATTATAAAATACGGGGACACCTCTCTGAAACCCCTGTTTTGAAAAGTGACTCTTGTTTATCCGTCGTTTCCAGCGGGTCATAGCTTGCTGAGGCCTGTTTTAGAATATAAGAAAGATTTTTTTAGAAAATATTCACATCTAATATACCTGGAATATTTCAAGAATATTGGAATACGATTACAGCATTCTAGGAATATCCCTTGAAAATCATATCGTATTCCCTGGGAATATGCGTGGAATATTGCAAATCACTTGTGAATATCTCTTGAAGGTTGTGGGATTATATGGAGTGAAAATGGAGTTTCTTTGGGAACTGCTGCGTGAGCAAAATGAAAAAGTTATATAAATGAATTATTTCATTGCTTATTAACAATATTAAATACTGGTATGTTAATGTTGTAATTTTTTTTTATCTTTGGATTATGGTAACTTAGCGATTTTTTTGGCGACCAACTGCTACAGCAACCCTTAATTTTTTTTTCGCCGCCATTTTGTCTTCACGAAGTAAAGACATTTTTCTTTTCTTTTTATTTACTGAACATTTTTTCCAACAATCTACTAGCCGAATTACAATGCTAGAAATTTTATGTAACAAAACTGCTTAATCATGACAAATATTAACTGCAAAATTGGGAAAAAGTGCACAATCGCAAACTCCTTGCGTGTTTTTCAGAATAGCACATACACATAAACCATTTACATGTCCGAACTTATTTTACTTAGAAAAACATCCCAGAATTGCACAAAAATGGCATTGCAACACACTCTTAACTTTATCCATCTACACTGCTATTTTCTCATAAATTACAAAAATTTGCACGAAAATGCAGGAAATTTTGTGAATCTTTAAACTCTGTAAAAAGCAACATGTATGAAATTACCTGATCGCGAAAAAAAAAGTAATACCCCTT